CTCACCACTCTCTTGAAAAGCCTAAATTCTTAATTGTACACATTGAGCTATGTTTTTGTATTATAACCCTATTTTGTTGAGATTAAAATCAGATTTTTAATAGATTTTGATAAAAATTAATAAAATGTATAATTGAAAAGTTGTGAGTCCTACGAAATATGTAATTAAATCTAACTGTTGACTTTCACTTAAATTAAAATCTAATTTTTAATTTTCAGGGCTATAGCTCACAATATTCTTGATTGTACACCTTGACCTAATTATATCCCACTAACACAGTTAAGGACATTATTACGCCAACAAATAATTATAGTACCTTCATACCTCAAAGATAAACTTACTTTTATTTTCAATTAAGAAAATTTAATTAATATAGTTGGAACAATAAATTTTATTTATATTTTTCTAATATACTCTTGCATTAAATAATAATTTAAATGCGAGTAATTTGTATTTATTGATAAGAAAACACATTATATAGAACATATTAGAAAAAGTAAGGAAATGATCTATAATTTAGAACAAATGGAAAATAGAAAATAAGTCTACGTTTATGGGATGTAAAAAAATTTTAATTAGTAGAAGAGATAAAAGTGCATGTGCACTTCCTCGAAGTTATCGAGATATTTGAATCAAAAGACGTTGTGAACGTGTCTACTCAGTTAAAGGTCAAAAGGTAGTGTTTGCATTGCACGAGACTTTCTTTAAGCCAGTTAAAAGTAGCATATATTTTTTAAACTTGTGAATAATAAAGAAAAATGCAAGACAAAACCTACGTGCCTAGGATAAGAATAATGTAGGAGGATCCCTTTTGATCATCAATTTCATATCACATGGGATCATATTATTAAATTTGGTCATTTCTTAAATCGATAAAAGTTATTTAATCAAGAAGTTTAATGCAACCAATCTTTCTTGTAATCACTGCATCACTTGCCAACTAATCACAAGTCATGTCAAGAAAGAGTTAAAATTAATAAATACACTAAATGAGTTATGATGTAAACCAAGCAATTTCCGTCAGTATAATACATATGTGACATAGTTATGAAATTAGAAATTAAATTGAGATTTAATGATCATAATTGAGGCAAATTAAAATTTAGAATTTCAATTGAAATTTTTCTGAATGTTCAGTGACCCTGATTAAATTTGCCCCAGTGTTTATTTTACTATAGACTCTATAGTTAGGAGGGTCGTTTTTGTAAATTAAATTAGAAGAATGGGGTATTCTGGAACTTCAATCTTTCAACGTCTTCTTTGAATTGTAAATGCTCTGACAATTTACTAGTACAATGTCAATTTTAAATGTTTCCTCTATTGTCGTATATTGATTTAATCTACTTATACAGAAAAATACTTCATAGAATTACACAGATTAGATGTGGCAGCATCTGATTTGATTCCAACAAATTGCTCCAAGTGTCTTCTATATAAATTTTGAAAGTCAAGTTCCATACGTGTAAACCCGCTAGTTGTATATTAGAATAGACAAAAGTGCATGTCCGCTTTCACGAAATTATCGAGATATTTGAATCAAAAGACACCGCACACTTGCCTACTCAGTCGAAGCTGAAAAGGGCAGTGATTGCATTTCAAGAGACTTTCTTTAAGCTATTTAAAGTAAATTATATATATATATACACAGTATTATTGTAATTTCTTTTAATTGTGTGTAATAACATTTTTACTAATTGTGTGCTAATAATTGTATTTAGTGGAAATTAATTAACTTAATATTTGAAAGCAATAAGAATTAAAAGTTATCTTATTTAGAAGTCATAAATTGAATATTAAGGGTTTTGTTCACCACAAATATAAAACGTAAAATTAAAATGCGAAATCGAATGTTTATCATCTATTCACACTTAGGTAATTAAAAAATAATTTTTTTGTATCATATTTTATAAAATAAATATAAGTTAATGTTGATTAAAAAATTGATAGATTATTATAAAATGACTTTTCGTCTAATACTAATAAAGTAAACATTAATTAATTGGATTTTTTTTTTTTTTACACCGTTATGTTTTATTTTCAATTAATCTTTTAGGAATGCCTTTTAATCTATAATATTAGGTTTAAAAAAATTGAAGTGTATATATATATATATTAAAAAAAATTATGAATAATAAAGAAGAAAGCAAAAGAAAACCTACTTGTGATCACGATTTATTAGTTTTTCTAGTAATTTCAATTGCAGTGATCACATTTCAATTAGTTTTACAAATTTCACAATTTGATCACTTGTCATTTCTTGAATTGATAAATTTGAGTCATAACACAATAAATCTTTCACGTATTCACTGTATGACTTGCAAACAAATCGTTACGGCATGTCAAGAAAGCATTGAAATTAGTAAAATTCATTGAATGAATTATGATGTAAACTAAGCAATTTCCATCAACTCAGGGAACAATATGTGGCTAATGTAACAAAATTAGAAATTAAATTGAAGTTTAGTGTAAATTAACTCACCAATCAATACCTTGCTGGAACCAACTTTCTCGTCCAATTGCTTGCTCTTTTCATTCTCTAATACCAATTTAAATTCCAAAGGCAACTAGCTATGCTTGTCGATGAAGGAAGGATAAACATGGAAGCTTCCCATTTTGATGGAATCCATTCATACAAACAACGTAGTTCAATCCTCAAATGCAAGTCATTGAAAAGGAAAGTAAAAACGCCCAAGAAAAATTATTTACAAAACAAATATTTGATTTGGTTAGTAAGAGCTGAATTAATCCTCACAACTCTTTTTTTTTGTTGTCATTATATCAAAGAAAAAAAACATTTGTTTTTTATATTTCTAGAGACAAATAATGAAAAAGGGCGAAGATACTATCTATTTAGCAAAACACATCGACTCAAAACGCTTGGACAATTTATTCCATCAACAATATTAATAACCAAGTGAGGTACATAATTAATTAAAAAAGGAAAATGTATCCCCAATTGTTTTCTTGACTGTACGCACTTACCCATTGTTGACCTCCAAAAATGGCTCCTCCACGTGGCCAACTTATAGCTACTCCACGTATTCCTCCCTGCGAAATGAACAAATAGTCAGGCGCACACGGCCGGAACCGACGGGGGTGGCGGCCGTATACACTCCGACGGTCAAGTCAGGTTTGGGTGGTCGGAACAGTGCCCTGGGACTACACAAATCAATCAATAAAGGGGGAGGAGAATATATATAAACTTGTTATGAAGTGCTATCTATTGAGAGTTTCCCTACCTTTGCCTCTGGCTAATCTTTGGGTATTTATAGATGGTATGAACCGTGGGATGTGGAACACGTGTATACATCTGACGGTATGAAGTGTCTGCTCATAGACGTCAATCAGCCGCGCTTGTAGAGTGGGCGGACAGTTTGTTTCCCCCTAGTTGAATTGACATAAAGCTGATAAGTCACATCAAATAGCTTTATGGGGGACGTCACATCAATTTAAACCTTATATGCAGAGCAAATCTCAAATTGGCAGCGATTCTTCTAACGGGGGTTCAAGCCACTTGAACCCGACCTCGGAGACGAGACACTTCGGAAGATCAGTGGCAGGAATCGATGTATCACTTCGGAGAGGCTTCGGGGGGGTCGGAGTGGTTCCGAGGCTCATAAAAAGGAAATCTGTTGACCTCCAAAAATGGCTCCAACAGGCACCCTCGCTTCGTCCCCTCGAAACCTTAACTTGTGAATTGAATTCATATTATAGAGAAATGATGTGAAATGGGCTAAGGCGGGTTAATGGGCCTAAGTTCGAGCCCAGTACGAGGTGAGCAAAGTGATAGGCACTTCGGCTAGGCGCACAACACTAATGGCCCTAGCTCGGGTCCAATAAGGTGGCCCAATATGGAGTGATAATTCATAGGCGTAACAGTAGTCCCCCAAGTCCGAGTCGTGTTATTTATATGCGGGTCGGATTTGAAAACTAAACTCTCAAGTAGGCGAGGTCCTACAGATTGCCTCAAAAGATGGGTAGCTCCAATAAGCGAGGGCTTATGAATTGCCTCAGAAAATGTGTCAGAATAAGCGAGGCTCATAAAATGAGGCGTAACAGTGGTCCCCCAAACCTGAGAATGGATATTTATATTATACGTGGATTTGTTCTCCTGACCGGATCGC